AACTGAGGCTACAATTGGAAACATTTGACAACAGAAGATTGGAAAATGTTACCTGGTCTGACGATTCTTGATATCTGTTGCAATGATCATTAGAATCAGAATTTGACATGGATCTGTCTTGTGTTGTATTAATGATTCAGGTTTGTGGACTTTGGGCTAGTTCTGGTTCTAGTTGCTGACCACATCCACCCCTTTGTTACCACAGTGGACCCATCTTCTGATGGCTGTTTCCACCATGTTAACGCACCATGCCACAAAGCTCAAATCATCTTAAAACTGTGTTCTTGAACACACAGTGACCATGTTCAAATGGCCTCCAGAGTCACCAGATCTCAGTTTAATAGGGAACCTTTTGGAAATGTTGGAATGGGAGATTCTCATCATTGATGTGCAGCCGATAAATCTGAAGCAACTGTGTGATGCTGTGATGTCAATATGGACCAAAGTCTCTGAGGAATGTTTCCAGCACCTTATTGATTCTGTGCCATGAATTAAGTTAGCTCTGAAGGTAAAAACCGGATCCAACTTAGTACTAGCACGGTGTAATGAAGTGGCTGGTGAGTGTTCAGTTTGAATTTGACACTCTGTTTGGAACTGAACAAGGGATTTTAAGTATTTAGCACATCCGAATACACCTTAAACCAGTGGTGTCCAAACCCAGGCCTCGAGGCTCGGTTTCCTGCAGGTTTTAGTTGTGTCCTTGATCCATCACAGCTGATTTGAATGGCTAAATTACCTCCTCAACATGTCTTGAGGTTCTCCAGAGGCCTGGTAATGAACTAATCATTTGATTCAAGTGTGTAGACCCAGGGTGAGATCTAAAACTTGCAGGACACCGGCCCTCGAGGCCTGGAGTTGGCCTTAAACCAATGTTCTTTATGTAAAATACCTTTGGCCTATTTAGAATTACCACCCATGTGTGCATAGGAGGAACATGTAGATCCAAACAGAAAGTTTTAACCAGTAGGTTTAAATCCAATATGTTGTTAATACATTGTGCTATTTTCAATTGAATATAGTTTAAAAAAAAAACCTCCAAATCACTGGAATCTGTTTTTACGTTTAACACAGCACCCTAACCTTTTTTGTAAACATGGGTGCATTTAGTGCATGATGTCATATCCTGTGGTATTTATCAACTGATGTTTGAAAGTCTACCATTGGCATGGCCGAGAAGCTCAAAGTTTACTCACCAAGGACAAAGAGCACCTCTGCAAACTACCGCAGCAAATTGTCCCTGTCAGGTTTACCACACATCAACATTTATCTCTGCCTCCTCCTCAGGGGCTGTAATTACGTTTTGGCCCCCTCCACAATGCTTCTAGTAAAATATAGCGCTGCGGTGCACACTGTTGTCATTTGTGAGCAAGTGTTTACATCTGGCTTTCAACAAACGCTGGACTCAGGCTTTATTGGGTTTCAGACATAACAATACAGGGTTGCTTTGTTGCTTTCTTGTTAAAAGAGATAGTTTGAAACTTTATTTTTGTTTTCATTTTGTATGTTTTTGATGACAAAACTAGAATTTATAGGTTCTGTTCCTCTAATAGTCTCTCACAGTGGTTTTCGAGTAAACATGCTTCACTGTCCTCCACCATATTTATTGCTAATCCTTGTTTTTTTTTTGTTTTTTTTCATCATTTCACAGAAAATATTTGTGATGCCAAACATGGATGATGTGTGGCTACCCATAATGCACTCTGCCATGGATACGCGTTCAAATGCCAACTTGTTTACTGTGACAAATGATGCCTTGAAGGATCCAGAACCCGAATCTGATGTCTCTGACATGTGAAGGCACGCTGCTCGAGGTGTTCAATGACAAGCTTTTTATCGCCATGTCCCCGCCCCGTCTCAGAGATCACAGCTCCAGCAGTGGGCTCGGTTGGCTCCCTGGTATTTTTACCAGTACTCCAGTCCTGCTGTCGCACCGCTCCATGAAGGCTGTGCTTCAAAACGATCTGAAATCTACTCATATCTAGCTACTAAAAGCAAACAGAAGAGAACAGTGACTCACAGACTGCCGATCATTCACACAGTTTTAGTGTGACATCAAATATTATGATTCACTCTGATGAAATTACTTTTTTGGGGGACATGGTTAGTGTGTGTGTGTGTGTGTGTGTGTGTGTGTGTGTGTGTCATGGTGGATTGACAAATAGCCATCCGATCCAACCAGAGGAACCATAATACCTGTGATGTACAGCTGCCCCAAACGTGATAGTTGTACAGTGTAAACCTTTTATGTGATGTTTCTAATTGACTGGTTTATTGTTACTATAACTCTTTGAGAACTCCTGAGGCCACTAAACGAAGATTGTGTATATCTGAGCGAGCAAACACCTGACAGAATATTCCTTTAAATTCGCAGGCGATTTCGCCGAAAACCCCAGCATCTGTGATTACATGTTTCACAGGGATGTCGAGACACATTTATCAACCACTCACACTGCTGCCTGTGCCGGCTGCCTGGCACCTATATGCAAACCAATCAACGGCTCTGCGTCTATAAGACACCGGGCCTGTTTAGAATAAAGGACTGTCATTATGCTTTTTACCTGTGTCATAGGACTTACAGAGGAGTCGTGTGAATTGAAGTACATCTGCAAACGCAGCAGCAAAACATTGCCTAGGTCTATTGAATGTATACATAGGAATGCAGCTCTTTAGCTGTGCAATGGAATAGCTCATTCACTGAAAACGTGCTTCTAAGCAACATGTTTCAAGCGCTCTTTTCGTGTTATGTTCAGAGTCGACAAAAAGTAATAATTTTCTATTTTTTATTGCCAAAGCAATCTTTCAGTGTGGTTTAAAGAAAGAAACCAGAGGGTTGTGTATGAGGTAAACGGAAATTCAGAAGACGGAGAAAAATAATCTGCAGGGAGTGATTTTAATGAGCAGGAGACTGAAACACTTTTAGTTTAAATGGAAACACATAAACTCAGAAATGTGTAGTTTAATGAGCTGGGACATCCACTCTTGCTGTTTTATTTTAAATCAATAACATACTGGATATTAGCCATATTATTTAATGCTCTCAGCAGACATCCAGCTAATGAATGCTCCGTTTCTGTTGAATTATTTATTGATTTCCTTTTTTTAAATGCTGTCTACTGTTGTACACATTAAAGAAAAACATGACATACACTAGAACTACAGGATCTTTGTAATCTGCCAAGACGCCCTGCTTTACAGGTGACTTTTACTTTATATGTCCAGACATGTGTGTTGACAAGTGTATGAGGCAGAAAGTGCCTTTAAAGTAAATTAAACATTCCTCCATAGTGAGCCGCCGTGTTTCTTGCATCAGCTGAGAATAGGAAAAGGGGAAAAAAAGTCTTTGTGCCATTACTGTGTCTGTTAAGACATGCCCATTTTGGTTTTTCACGTCTCGGTGTTGTTTATTTGCACAAGTGATGACAATATCAAACATTGCTGTTGTGTTCAGTGATGTCGCAGAATGTTACGTTTCTGATCATTGTGGATCAATAAAATCTTTTTGCTCGGAAAGAATACGTATGGATTTGATGTTCTGACAGAAGAGATGAGGAATGAGAAGCCGGAGCCAGATTCTCATCAGAAGACATGCATTTATATGCTGTTTCGCTTCATAAGGTACGCCTGTTCAATCACAAGGCGCCAACTCAGTGAGTTGAGGCGTATCAAGATGGGATACACCAGAATGGAGAAGAAAGGTGTTTTAACTGACTTGGCATGGTTGTTGATGCCAGATGGGCTGGTATCTACTGGTATTTTCCTGCACAATCATCTATTAAGGTAACGGAATGTTCCAAAGGAGAAACTATTCAGTGAAAAACGCTTTACTGATGTGAGAGGAGGGTGGGAAGAATGCTTTGAGCTGATTGGAAGGCAACAGTACTCAAATAACCACTTGTTATGACTAAAGTATGCAGAAGAGCACCCTCTAATTACACGCCAAACAAACCTTGAAGCAGATGGGCTACTGCAGCAGAAGACCACACAGGGTGCCACTCATGTTAGCTAAGCACAATCCACAGGCTACAACCCACAAAATTAGACAATGCAAGGTCTCTGTGTTCCCACTCGTGACCTGGAAACTGATAGTTTGATCTGCTGAGAGTTGTCTCAACTCCCGAAACAAATCTGTGGGTAGAGACGTTGCACAGGTGTCATTTGTGGAAGTGTTTATACACGTGAAGTAGTGGTGGCACATCACTGGATGATATGAAGTCTGCTGAGTTGGACTTGAAGATATTCAACAAATGAACTTTATCATTTCCAATTATAAATATAGTGGCTATAACAGCCACTTATTAGATGATGCCGCTGTCCCATGTCATAAGTGGCATCTTATTTTTGTTAACCAGTTTTTCCTAGCCCCGTCTGCTCTCATCTGGGGGAAGAGGAATCAAGGACGTGAAGTATGAAAGACAACACTTCACAATCTAAAAATAGTATGTGTGTGGATGTACATTCACTTGACAAAAATATTCAGTATTTAACCGGCTGCATTTCTTCTTTTTAAACATCTGACTTGTGGTGTCAAATTAAGTGTTAATGCTAACAGATGTGCTGACACCACAGACGGATGTTAAACTCCGTCACGTGGGCAGCTTCCGCACTTTGAGAACACTATACCTGAACTTCATCTCGAGTCTGTGTCTTGCTTTAAAAGAGAGACTTGGTGAAATAAAAGCCAAGAAACCCCAGTTATGACAAGACATGACTTGATCTTGCACTGCTCTCCACCTTTGAGTGGCCACGGAAGAGGCCAGCCAGTTTCAGAGGAGTGCCCAGAAATAAGTTAAAATAACAAAAACGACGCTGTTGGTTTGTGGAAAAATGCTTTATTCTTTTTAAAGAGTCAAGATTCAAAGTGTTTATTGTCATGCGTCACAAGAGAAAAGGCATTTCTCTGTGCAATGAAATTCTTTCTTTGCTGTCCACCCGCAGATGTCGATTAATATATACAATAAAAATAGAACAAATACAAATAAAATAAAAACAAAGATGGAAACCCCCCCAAAAAAAAACATGTTTATCTGAGACACTGCAACTTCAAGCCTGGGTCCACTTCTTGAGCATCACAGGCTGGTCCCTGAAGAAGAAAACAAATAAGCTCAGTTGTTAACAAGCTGTTTATAAAGATCTTTGAGGGGGGCAGATCAATAATGTCTTCAAATTTATCAGAAGACTTATCAGTTACAATCATTTTGGATTACACTCAAATTACTTACTGTGTCATTATCCTGAACATCCATTCACACTGAAGGCCCCTGTGCAGAAAATGATAAAAAAAAAAAAAAAGCTTAAGTGCATGTGATTGATTGATTACAAATCCTGACCTGTGTTAGTGACTCAACTCAGATTTCAATTCTGACTTCATTTTCAGATCAGAAGTCTAACGCACGAAAACTCATCATCCATGAACCAAAGGGAAAACACATTTTCTGTACTTCATATTTCTGACTTCATACCTCGCTGCTGGCCGTCCTCCACGAGACTGTATGACACCACCCTGTCCACGTGGTGAAGTGCAGAAAACATCCACTAGAGCAATCACCATCCTATTTCATAAAGAGACCAAAATACCTGGTTACAGATGGGAGCTCAAGCGGGTTGTATTTTTATTTAGTTTTTTTTTTTTTAAATAAGTTCTTACCTTCGTTTTCTTTGCTCATGCGGCCTAGTCAAGTCCCGCTGCTCAAACGCGCAGTCATTGCTTTCAGTGCTCTAACTTTACACCTCCCCATCATATATGCACTAGCAGTCAGCTGCAATAATAATAATAACTACAACATATACATGAATAAAATTTCATAGCCAAATTAAACACGACCATGCCGCAGTTCGCTTGCCCAACGCTGAAACGCATGCTTCCCACACTCTTCGCAGACCGCTGTAGAAAATGTCCCCCGGATCTATTTTATACCACATCCGGTGTCCGTATCGCTTTTCTCATTGGCTCACAGACTCTCGACATTTCCCCTCCTCCACTCGTGTGGATATCTATCCCAAAGTCCAACCCCCACGGTTTTCATTTCAGGAAGAAGCACATTTAACGTCGCATCCAGTGCGGCTGGCTCGATGCCTTTAACGTATCAACATTTACAAAACTATTTATAACACCTGTCTGCGAACCAGAAAGCGGTTTCTATGTAGTCTGCGGCCGCTCGGACCTCCCCAGCTGTCTATCCCGGTTTGAGACCAGAGAATATGGACTGGACAGTGAGCAGTCGGGCCCTGGTGTGGTGCATTTTAGCCCTGCTTTGCTACGCTGGTCTCCCACAAAAGGTAAGAGAGCTAGCTGGTTAAGCTAGCTAAACTTGGAGGACACTAACAGCAAAATTACAGTTATAAACAAAACGTGGACAGATATTTTTCACTACACGGGTGTCACCGCAGGGAGCTAAAGTTGTGTCATTGAAGCCTCTGTTTGTGTGCTTCGTGTTGCCCCAACATTACAGAAGTGAGCTAACACAGATGTTAGCTACCTGGCTGAAAAGCTCTAAAATTGAACTTTACTGGCACCAAGTTTACATTTTCAGCGCTTCAGACCCGCTTCGCAAGCGAAAGAAGCAAACATGTTTACATTAACATTTTTGTTAAACATCTGAGTTATTGCGGAAAACGAGAAATTTTGTATTTACATGTTTAGACGTCTTCGTTTGCTTGTTTCAAAAACAGGATTTTTAAGTGTTTTTGTGGCTTGGTGATAAGTTAATACGCAGTATCTTTTACAAGCATCAGCACACATCCTGTCCCTTCACATCCACATCAGTAGCATCAGTAATCGCTGCAGAGGTGACAAACCAGACACCACAATGTGATGGCTTGAATAAACATTCTCCAAACGCTGGAGACATTGATGAGATATTACAATTGCAAGCTCAGTTCAAGGTAATGAGAGGTGGCTACAGAAAATGTGCTCCCTCTGTTGTTGGTTTTCTTAAGCTCTAAGGATAACATTGTGCATAAATTAAGCCATCATGCAGAAACACCTGCACTCAGTAACTGCACGCAAAAGATGGATTATGTATGAATTAGTACGTGTGCTAGTGATGTATTGGTATCAAATAACTTCTTCTTTGCAAAAGAAATGGTTCTCACAAAAGCTTTGAAAAGCTGTAATTGGATCTGGGCGTTCTTTTAGTTCTGACCAAAACCCCTATGGCGACCCTCCCTCTTATCCACAAACACCAATCCCATCCTCACCTATCCTGTATTGCTAACATCCTGTAAATGAGCCAGATCTCACAGTAAAAGGCTGGAGGCAGAGACCCTTCAGTTCCCAGATACTAAACCACTTCAGCTAAACAGGAGATTAAACTAGCTTTATAATTCCCTATCATGTCTCAGGTTACTCTCTTAGCCTGTTAAGATGGTCTGTTGGTGTAGCGAGGGTGATGGATGATAGGCTATCTATAGATTCTGACTAACATGTGTCTGAGTGGTAGATATAAATTGGATATTTTCAGAGAATATATCTCTTTCCTTGTCACTGTTTTTAAGGTCAGCTGATTTTTTTTTTCCATTGAGGGAAGGATGTCTCTGACTAAAAGCTTGCTAACTGTTTCAGCAAAACATAATATTTGTTTATAGATGCACTTTTTGTTTTTTCTAATGCCTCACTTTACACTCTGCAGGCTGTGTATAACAACACTATATTTAATACTTTTGTCCTCAGTTGTAGTTTACCCATTGCTCACAAGAACAGCATTTTATTTTCATCCTTATTTTTTCAGTATGGAGACAAGATTAAGGTTTGTTTTTAAAAGAAAATGGATAAAAGGCTGCGAGCTTACTCTGTCTTATCACAGGAGTGGATTGACTCCACTTTGACTGAGCGTGCCTAATCGTGGGCCAACATGTGACATATTCCACTTTGCAGCAAACGTATGGGGGAGCATAGGTCCTTCAAACCTTCTTAGACCTGTCTTTGTTACACCGCTCCAGAGGAGAACCTTTATGTCTAGAGATATTACCAGGCTGTCCTTAATCCTAAAATACTAACGTCTGATGTTTTGTCACCCATGCGACTGTAGTCGGGTGATTTTCATTGTAGAGCCTTTTTTGTCATTTTATCAGATGTAGTATGTTCTTTTCTTGGTTCCTGTGTTGTTGGTTTTTTTTTTTTTTTTTTTTGCTTCCTGCACAAAAGCAAGCTGCAAACACAGCTTATTGCTGCAGACAAGCTAATCGGTAGGACTGGCAGAGGTAATTTAGCAAGAAGTTAATTACCACGCGGAGGTAGTTTTTGACTGGTGAACTCTTAATGCCATTCACAAATGTTATTATTCCTCTTCTATTATTATTTATTTTCTAAAATTTATATTCACAGAACCCTCATCCCTCTTATGTATGTGATCCAAAAGCCCATGCTTCACAGCACAGCTTCTCTCAGGGTTTTTACTTAAGGGGGAAAGAAGCGAAATAATTTTCTGTTATACTTCACTGTCTTTATCAACCCTGCTTTATAAAGTCTTTATTGTTCTTTGGCTCCTTAATGCGCTTCTCTGTAATCACATAATCGCCTGAGAGGTCAGATAATAAAGGAAAATACTTGTCTGTCGCAGTAGCCTGTACTCAGACAGCCAAACACATGACTACATCTGCACACATGTTTTTATAGTCTCTCCATGGTCTGCTGCTCTAAATTATGAGCATGATGACGCTAAAACGAACAGGCCATGCTTTCTCTTAATACGCCAGGTATTTGAGGTGTGTATCAACCCAAACAGAGAGGTGAAATAGTTATCAGTATAACCCAGTCTGTTCCTAACCTCTTGTTGTACTGTACTTTGGTTGGCAGAAAGAATATGAGAACAAAAACAAACTGTTTTAACCCCTGTCTGTTGGTTGGTGATGTACTCCAGCATCTTATCAGACATGGAGGGTTGTGATGCATGTAACGTGCTATCAAAGTGCTTTGTTTACACTCAGCTGGAAAGCTGCCAGTTACAGCCAGTCCCGTGTTCAGGTTGGTCTGGCAAGCAACAGGCTGTGAAGCACCGTGACACTTCAGTGACTGCTAACAGGGATACCATAAGCATTGTAGTCTGTGTGTCTTTAAGCCATGCTGGGTCTCATTGCAGAAGGAAAAGAAGATCTTTAGAATAAGCCAATCGTTTTGGTTTCACCTCAGTCTTGTAGTATTATGTAACACTCTTGTGCAATAACTTCACATTTCTCTTTTAGAAAAAAGAATGAGGAAATGAGAGGGAGTGCACCAATATTTCACCATTAACTTATACAGCGCTTTATAACTTGCATGCTCAATCATGGCTAGCAGCCAGATGCTGTCTAGCAGATGTCCCTGAAGCTGAATACTGTATCCACCAGCTGATGAATATCAGTGTGCGTCCAAGACTAGGAGGCTAGCAGATGTTTGGAGAGTTATTTGTTTGCAAAACCAAGAGTGCTGGTAAAGGTTACAGGGGGCCTAAAACTGGATTAGTTATGATTTTTCTCATGAGTTCGGCACCCAGTGGGAACTGTCACAGATGCACATTGTTGACACAAATGCTTGTATAGGATAGGTGAGACTACAGCAGGGGTTTTGTAGGCAAATGTAGAAGGACACAGTTTCTTTATGTAGATAGTGTGAAACTTTCAGGGTTTGTTTGGCCTTGGTTTCTGCCCAGACTATTAAAGCATGCTAGTGTCTTCCCATTTTTTGAGCAGAATGACTCACAGGAAGAAAGAAGTGAGCGTTTTAACATGGTAAAATTTGGAGTTTAACTGTAATTTGGTGCTTTCCCACTAGTGTAGCCTGTATTACGTTTTCTATTCACTCTTAAAAGTGGGGAAATACACTCCTTTGTTTCTCCCCTTTCACTAGGGAGAGCCTCTTGTCTGTGCCAGATGGTAATCTTTGTGAAATGTAGAAGTAATTTAATTGAGTGCTGGTACACGAAGACAACACTTGAAACCTGGGTTGAAGAATATTTATGGTAGTCGTCATTAACAGAAAAGTGTTAAGACTCTAGGTTGATCTGGTGACCCCCTCTCAGCCTCGAGTCTGTCAGATCCTGTACTAATCCAAAGCAACCTGACATTCAACCACCCAGAAATTGCACTATGCATTGCTGTGTAATGACCTGCTATTGTATCTGACTGCCTTATAGTGCTGACACCACAGCCCGTAATCTGCCAGAGTAGCATCTGCTGTTTCCTCTGCATTTCCCAGCTTTGCCAGTCGTTTTACAGTATATAACAGTCAGTCCTTCTCTCATTTCTATGTTGCAATAATTTCAGTTAAAGTAAGTCTTGAGTAACATTGTTATTAGCTGTTTAACTGTATTGATAATATTTGAAGCACACGGAAAGCTGAAAACGGTGTCATAATCAAGTAGTGGTTTTAGAGATGTAATTACAGACCAATACAGAGGTGTTAACTGTTAAATAAACTGTTGGATACACTGCTGTTTATATATATTTATTTATTCATTTATTTATCTATCTCATCAAATTATCACGGTAGAAGGACTGATCAGGTTGGGTTTGTGCATTTTTCTGTGGGGAGGCAAGCACGTCCACTGGAGTTTTTTCCTGCCAGAAACTGAAAGATGCCCACGACTTGGTTATCAAGAGTGGAGTTTCTAGCATTCCTTAGTGGGTGACTGGAGCACTCTTCTTCACCCACAGTGTTGTTAATTCTGGCATAAGCCAAGTCATGGGGCTGGATTGCTTTGCCACTGTTATGGGTTTTGTGGGTTCAGTTGTTTTCCCTGTGCAGTCTTTCATTTTACTTTCTCTTTATTTTCTCTTTGTATGTACTGGTTTATCTCCTCCTTGTATACTGGCTATTTCTTTCATGTGCTGAACCCATGTCTGTTCTTGTGCCACATATTTCTGAGTAGGAGAAAAAGTTTGTGAAAGGATTAGGTGCCCGTATGGCTCGTC